GTGACATCCGATCATTCACTGGCCGTGACATCCGATCATTCACTGGCCGTGACATCCGATCCTTCACTTGCCGTGACATCCGAGCATTCACTTGCCATGACATCCAATCATTCACATGCTGTGACATATTCCATCATTCACTTGCTGTGACATTCTGCGTGACATCTGATCATTCACTTGACATGACATCTGATCATTCACTTGCCATGACACATTCCATCATTCACAACCCATGACACATCGGATCATTTGCCTACCGTAACGCGTCCTCTCTTGGTCTCACAGCGCTCAGAGAGGTTAGCACCAACAAACACCGCAAGAGGAAGCGTGACAAGCAGGTCGACCGGGATGACTGGTCGGAGACTGCGCACAGGGGCGATGGCTGGCCCACCCCCGATCCCTCGTCAGACGCTATGCGCGGGATTGATGGCTGGCCCTCCCAGCATCCCTTATCGTCAGCGGGTGCTGTGCGTGGGACCGATGGCTTGTCTTTCCAGAATGCCTCGCCATCACTGGAGGCTGCGTGCGGGGTCGATGACCGGCCCTCCCTGCAGCTGCATGAGCTGATGTATGGGCGGAGTAGCGACCAGCCGCTGGGCGGTATGTTGACGTTCGTTTGTTTGTTGTCGACATGTGACGTTGAGATTTGTTTGTGTGTCTGTGTGTGCACTGAAGCACCGCACGGATGAAGTGGGTGAGGATGATGTAACTAACAGTCGCTCTGGTTCTACCCCCCCCCTCCCTGTATAATGCAGTTGTTTCATTCATCGTGCCCGTGGTTTCACTTTTTGCAGATGAAAAAATCAAACGTCAAAAAATTCAGGAGAAGAGGAATGAACCGCTGCAACGGGGAGGAGGAAGAGGAAGGGTACAGAGAGGAGCTGTCGCGGGGTTCAGAGGAGGAGAAAGAGGAGGTAAAGCCATTGGAGGTAGAGGAGGACAAGGTATAAGAGGACGAGGTACAGGTATGAGAGGACGATCCACAGCAGTTAGAGGAGGTGTAAGGGGAGGGGCGAACATCAGAGGAGGAGGAGCAGGCATCAGAGGAAGATCCAAATTCGTTAGAGGAGTTATAAGCAGAGGAGGGGCAAGCATCAGAGGACGAGGTACAGGCATCAGAGGACGAGGTACAGGCATCAGAGGACGAGGTACAGGCATCAGAGGAGGAGCCACAGCAGTTAGAGGAGGTGTGAGAGGAGGAGGAAGCATCAAAGGACGAGGTGCAGCCACCAGAGGAGGAGCCACAGCAGATGGTGTGGGAGGAGGAGAGAAGGGGTTCAGAGGAGAAGATCGAGAGAGAGGAGGTGGGGGGCGTGCCCTGTCCGAGCCACCGCAGCAGGACGAGGAGAGTGGGGCAGGGCCAAACATTAGTGAGGAAACCCTCGCTGATCGCATCTACTCAATACTGTTCCCCAGCGCCTCTGCAGCCGCCGCCTCCCCCACGCTCACACCCGACGTCAATGATGACAACGATGAAGATGATGGGGGCTACTCCATTTTCAGAGAATTAATTACGAGGAATGCCAGGATGAGACGGGATGATGGAATGAGACAGGATGATGGGATGAGACGGGATGATGGGATGAGACTGGATGAGGAAATGAGACAGGATGAGGGGATGAGACAGGATGAGGGGATGAGACAGGATGAGGGGATGAGAGGGATGATTTCATGAGACAGGGAATGAGGGGATGAGACAGATAGGGGATGAGAGGGGATGATTTCATGAAGACAGGATGAGGGATGAGACAGGATGATGGGATGAGACAAGGTGGCGATGGCACGAGAGAGGCGCACACAGACCGAGCGAGGTATGGTTCGTGCAGACGCGTCACCACAGACAGCGCCTCCGATCGCCATGGATACACAAATGACTCACCCGACAGATCACAGAAGGAGCAGCAGCACTGTGACAGGGGGCAGTCGGCGCTGACCAGCGGCCGCACGTCGCCACGGCGACCGCCGCCGTGGGCGGCAACGACGTCGACGGGAGAGACGGCAGGGAGGGGCGGGACTCACGCAACCGACCCGGCAGGAGGGACGGGAGTCAGGGAGACCGGGAGTCATCCCGTCACCGGAAGCAGCCACGGTGGCGGAAGCCGGGCAGTCTCACAGCCGGGATAAACGCTCGCAATCGTTGTTCATCCGAGGAGGACAGGAGCAACCGAAAGATGGGCAGCAGGGTGAGGGATCGATCCCTGAGGAACCGCAGTAGGGAGGCAGGAGGTCGGCGAGAGTCGAGGGCGCGCGGCGACGCCGGGAAGAACTCGCCGCCACGTCACACGTCGCGATCCGGGAGTGGCGTGAGTCGCGGCAGTGGCAGCGCACACCCGCCAGGTGGCGCCGATGCCACGGCGCGTGACGTGCGTGACGTGATGGACCTCGCCGCGCAGATCCGGGTCGCCATGGCGGCGGTGATGAGGCAGCGTTCGCTAGGCTGAAGAAGAAGCTGAACGCGATCACGGGCAAGGCTCGAATGGCGCCCTGGCGGCAGAGCGTCGATGCCAGGGCTACTGTGCTGCCCCCGCTCCAGCCGTCGTCAACGAGCCGCTGCAGATAGCTGGTGTGGCGGCGGCAGATCATACTCTGACACAGGGTGGTGCGGCTACGGGATGCAGGAACAGCAGCGGGATATGGATGCAGGATGGGATGGCAGGAGGCAGCAGCAGCGATACGGGATGCAGAACAGCAGCCAGCATACGCGGGATACAGGATGGGATGCAGGGATACGGGATGCAGGAACAGCAACAGGGACACGGATGCAGAACAGCAGCAGGCGATACGGAATGAAGGAACAGCAGCAGCGCATACGGAAAATGAGGAACAGCAGCAGGGATACGGAATGCAGGAACAGCAGCAGGGATACGGAATGAAGGAACAGCAGCAGCGATATGGGATGCAGGAACAGCAGCAGGGATACGGGATGCAGGATGGGATGCAGGGATACGGGATGCGGGAACAGCAGCAGCGATACGGAATGAAGGAACAGCAGCAGCGATATGGGATGCAGGAACAGCAGCAGGGTTACGGGATGCAGGATGGGATGCAGGGATATGGGATGCGGGAACAGCAGCAGGGATACGGGATGCAGGAACAGCAGCAGGGATACGGTTTGCAGGATGTGAATCAGGGCGCTCACTCGCAACAAGCCTACCTGCGGTCGGATGTGGGGCACGAAGCGGGCAGCGCGGCTGTCCAGGGTAGCATGGCGTACTCGGGCACACAAACGCAGCCAGAGCACCAGATGTACCCTAGCGCGCAGGGACAGCAGGGCCGCCCTGCCGTCGCACAAGGAAGCCAGGGTTACTCTGCGATGCAGGAAAGTCTCGCAAGCTACTCTGCTGTGCAGGGTACCCAGCGTTATCCCTCTGCGCAGCATCAGCAGAGCTACGCTGCGGGTGAACAGGCATGCCCTGCCACGCAGGGACATGCCGCAGTCACCCAGTGTTATCCTGCTGCACAGGGAAGCCAACTCTACCCTGTCACTCAGTCCTACTCTGCTCACGGGCACTCTGCCACGCAGGGTGGAGGTGCCATTGTGCACGAATATGGGCACCGCTATGTGGCAGACGTCGGCAGTCAGTTCCACCAGGAAGCGACACAGTCGTCGTTGCTGGGGCAGACGCCGGCGAGCGCGGGATTGTCGTCTGCTGGCTCGGCGCTAGACCGCAACGTCAGGTAAGGTTAGGTGTTACGCACATGAGAGCAGACGTGCGTGTGTGCGAGTGTGTGTGTGTGCGTGCGTGTGCATCTGTGCGAGCGCGTGTGTGTACGTGCGTGTGTGCGAACGCGCGTGTGTGCGAACGCGCGTGTGCGTGCGTGTGTGTGTGTGTGCGTGCACGTGTGTGCGAGTGCGCACGTGTGTGAGTGTCCATGCATGCATTGTTTGTGTGGTACTCGCATCAGTCAGCTCTCTGTGTGAGCGTGACTGTGTGATGTCACCATGACTTGTGTGTTGTTGTCGCAAAGCCGGTAAACCGTGTATTGTTACCAGATTTGATCGCCCTGCACTAGTAATCTGTCACGGGTTTCCCACATACAGTGGCACAGGCTGGTGCCCCTGCATCCTTCACAACTTCCTAGCGCCCAAAGATGTACAGGTGGGCCTAACCTGATGACTCATGGGAAAACTACCCTTTAGTGTCATCCGTGTGACTTCACTCACTGACTTCACGTGTGAGTGTGTTTGATGTCACTGCTACTGGGACTGGCTAGCCACAGGGTGTCTGCCGGGATGTAAGCAGGTCCATGGGTCTGCCAATACAGCTGCGAGATTAGCGAGTCTATAGTTCGACACATGAGTATTCTGGGCGGCTAGTCAGCACATGGTCTCCTGCAATGCAAGCTCCCCTGCTGGAGCAACACAGGGTCGTGTGTGTTCGCGAGTGTCTGTTGACATACGTCAGTGGCAGTCAGCACATCTCTGCCGGTTGCGTGAGCTGCGAGGTGCGTCCTGGATGCATGGACGTGAAGATGCTGCTGTACGAGTGTGAACTCTGACCCCTGAGTGTGTCGGTGAGATGTCCACTCTCTCTTCTGCCTAGCTCGTGTCTTCATCATCGAGAAGTCTGCTCTCAATGCAGCTGTTGTGGTATCTTGACATACCACGCAATTTGTACATACATTTGCTGACTGTGAGACCATACATTCAGCTGTGCTCAAACTACCCCCCCCCCACGGCCCAGTCGGATGACACGTACAAAGTAAACGCTCGTTCGTCAAGTTAAATTGTCTTTTTGATTGTAGAACGAAGCACTGCTCTCGTGCTCGTACCTTTACTGGTCGCTTTAGTTGAGACTTTCACACAATCGTCGCTCTGTTCTCCAAGATCCAGAATCAGGTGGTATTGTATACGTTGTACCATGGACTATGACTATGAGTGTGCGTGATTGAAAGACCATTTCCAGTTCTTCTTCACCATAGCATCATCTGCATTGCTCCCAGATTAGAGAGCATCTGGTTGTCGGTAAATGGTACGTATGAATCCGGTTTTGTACACACGTGCTCTCACTGTCATAGTGGTCATCAACTCTTGTGGCATCTGGTGTGTGTGCTAGCATTTCATGCTTGAAGCCAGCTGATGTAATATCGCCTCAAGCGTCTATCACTAGTATGCTACCGATATCCAGCTCTTCCCCCGATTGTGTGTCTCGGGCGAGCACTGTGCACCAGGTGGCGCCATCGTGCGACGGAAGAGATGCATGGTAGACTGCAACACGGAAGTCATGTGACATGTTCTACTCACGAATTGGCTTCAGCATCTCTCAGTTTGTACTCAGATTGAATGCGTTACAGGGAAACCCTGAATGCTTCGGTTTGCTTTTGCGCTGCTTATGCGCGAGGCACCGATATCTGGCATCTATTTGCCTTCATGAGCGACCATCAAGTTGCAGGAGATTCTCTGGATGTATTGTCAGTGCGACAGGGTGGTGTGGAGCCACTCAACCATTATTACATGCTCAGTGAGGGAGACATCAGAGAGGCCGTGTGCAGAATAGCTATGCACACACGTTCGGTGCCGCTAGTCATTCCGTGGCATTAACGGCTGAGCTGTAAGGATGTAAAACAGCTTCATGGTGATTCTCTCTGAATGTCGCCACGGGTTTGTTGATTGCAAATTTGTACATAACTGTGGGAGCAAAGAAGTTGGAGCTGTGCACGTGTGCTCTTGGTGGCTTGTCGTTCTGTGGTGTTTTAGCGCAATTATTAATGCTTTATTGTGAATTAATAGTAACGATTCTCTTTCGATTTCCCCAGGGTTCTAAATTTAATGCTTGGCACGACCATGTGTGCGTTCGTGCGTGCGGGCGTGCGTGTGCGTGCGTGTGTGTGTGAGCGTGTGTGTGTATGTGAGAGCAGAGCACTATGCGTCGTATTCCTTGCGTGCTGTGTGATCATGAGAAGTCATGTTGTCACGTGTATATGAGACATGTTGTCACGGGTATATGAGACATGTTGTCACGTATATATGAGACATGTTGTCACATATATATGAGACACGTTGTCACGTACATATGAGACATGCTGTCATGTATATATGAGACATGTGGTCACGTATATATGAGACATGTTGTCACGTACATATGAGACACGTTGTCACGTATATATGAGACACGTTGTCACGTATATATGAGACATGTGGTCACGTATATATGAGACATGTTGTCACGTACATATGAGACACGTTGTCACGTATATATGAGACACGTTGTCACGTATATATGAGACATGTGGTCACGTATATATGAGACACGTTTTCACGTATATATGAGACATGTTGTCACGTATATATGAGACACGTTGTCACGTATATATATGAGACACGTTGTCACGTATATATGAGACACGTGGTCACGTATATATGAGACATGTTGTCACGTATATATGAGACATGTTGTCACGTATATATGAGACATGTTGTCACGTACATATATGAGACACGTTGTCAACGATACATATGAACATGTTTTGCCTACGTACATATGAGACATGTTGTCATGCGTACGTTCACCATGGCTCAGTGCGAGACGGTCGTAACTCACCGCGGCATAGACTAACAAGACAGCGGTGTCATAGCTAACTATTCCTTTTTATTGCTTACCACAACGATTCTTTTTCAAAGCTTCGTTAGTTATTTACCATAACGCTTTCCTTTTCCAAAGCTTCGTTACTTTTTACCTAACCTATTCCTCTTCAAGCTTGTTATTATTTCCTAAAACTTTTCCTCTCCAAAGCTATCGTTACTTATCTTACTACACACTTTCCTTTTCCAAGCTTCGTTACTTATTTACCCTAACACTTTCCTTTTCCAAAGCTTCGTTACTTATTTACCATAACACTTTCCTTTTCCAAAGCTTCGTTACTTTCTTACCCTAACACTTTCCTTTATCAAAGCATTGTTACTTATTTTCCCAAACGCTTTCCTTTTCCTAAGCTTTGGTACTTTCTTACCCTAACACTTTCCTTTATCAAAGCTTCGTTACTTATTTACCCTAACACTTTCCTCTTCGAAAGCTTCATTACTTATTTACCCTAACACTCTCTCCTTTCTCTTTTTAAAACATTTTGCTTACTGTTAATTACCTAACTTTCTTTTCCAAAGCTTCGTTACTTTCTTATCCTAACATTTTCCTTTATCAAAGCTTCGTTACTTTCTTACCCTAACACATTCCTTTATCAAAGCTTCGTTACTTTCTTACCCTAACACATTCCTTTATCAAAGCTTCTTTACTTATTTACCCTAACACATTCCTTTATCAAAGCTTCTTTACTTATTTAGCTTAACGCTTCCCTCTCCTGATTACAGTGGCGGCGGTTCCCAATCCTGCGCGTTGGACTGGCTGAAGCACAACGACGGCTCCGACGGCTCCATCCCGGGTATCGGCTTGGGCTGCGACGCCTCCAGCAAGCCATCACCCTTCCCGTTCCTACAATCTGGATGCGAGTACCAGAAGGCGCCACCGCTGCACCGGCGACCGGTGCCACCGACCGTGCCACCCCCTAAGAAGGCGCCGTTTGTGGCGACGGGGAAGAAAGGCAGCACGTTGCAGCCGGCGTCGCAGCACCTGAGGCAGCTGAAGTACGTCAAGCAGGATCAGTGGCTGCAGGATCGTAAAGAGCGGCAGAGGAAAACGAACACAGGTATGTTGTCACTGTTTTGCCGCTTGGGTTTCACCTTCGTTGGCCGTTCTCCGTGATTCTAGCGAGCGCAGGTCTGCGTGCATGATGGGTTCTATCCTCGTGTGGAGAATCATCGCCAAAACGATGTCAGACTCTAGACTTTCCATGGTTCACGATTGTGCCACGGTGGCATTATATATCGGCTATTAATCCTCGAGCTAAGATCAAACTTATCAACCTGAGATCAAATATATTTGATTGAACAAAGCTATAGCAGGATAGGACGCAGGACCTGAATAATAATGCACGAGTGTTTTATTCTTTCGCTGCGTTTTTACCTTGTAAACGTGTAAATAGAACAGTGGGCTAAATTCTTGCAGGTAAACGGTACTGTGATGTGTGTGAGATCACCTTACAGGACCAGTGGCAGTTAGAGCAGCACATGATCGGCAAGAAACACAAGCTGGCGCTGGAGAAGAAACGGGGAAATCTGGTGCCCTGCTAGCCGTGAAGGTCGTGTTAGAGGACAGTGTGTTAGAGGTCGCGTGAGGGGTCGTGTCATTGTAGATCGTATAAGATGTCGTGTTGTTGTGAATGTTGTGTGATGGGTCGTGTCGTTGTGAATGTTGTGTGATGGGTCGTGTCGTTGTGAATGTTGTGTGAGGGGTCGTGTCGTTGTGAAGGTCGTGTGAGGGGTCGTGTCATTGTGAAGGTCTTGTGAGGGGTCGTGACGTTGTGAAGGTCGTGTGAGGGGTCGTGTTGTTGTTAAGGTCATGTGAGGGGTCGTGTCCTTGTAGATCATGTGAGGGGTTGTGTCAGTGGAGGTCGTGTGAGAAGCAGGCATGTGAAAGGTCGTCACGTGAGAGGTTGTCATTTGAGAGGTCACGCAAGAGGTCATCGTGTAAGGAGCTGTCACGTGAGCACTGAGCTGTATATAGTAACTGGAGGGTGCATCACGTGACAAATACTCACGCTGTCGCGCCGTCATCCTATTGCAAAACTAATTTTTGGCAGACATACTGGCGTGTATTAATCAGAAATGCTAGTCTATTGTTGTACTGAGCTGCTGTGCGTTTGAAGGCTAGAATATATAATTAATTATAATATATATACAAATAAAGTCCTAATTGCTTTTAGATGACACTTAGAGAAGAGAGACATTAATATGATTTCACGTTGAGGGAGCCAATTGTTGCAAATTTGTTTTCGTCACGACTTTGCGCCATGTACCGATGTATTGAAATGCGTCTTTATAGTTGCAGCACGTCATAATTGTTTGTTGATCTTTTCGGTGAATAAAGTTATAGTCACTAAAAATTGGGATCACGCAGAATGTTAAGTTGCATTTGGTTTCGTACGCGTTTGTGTTAACCGAAATGTCTTCTCTTATATTCAGTGTGAACTTTAGCACCTGCCTCTGTGCCCACTGACGCAGTGAGTAGGTGAAGTTACATGAATCTTCATCTGTGTATACCTCTGTTTGGTCTCTCAACGTGGATTAAAATTGCTTTGATAGCTTGAAAACACCAAATTCCCACCTTCCACAACCTGCTCTCTTAATAACAGGTGGCTAGGGTAGAGGATGGTAGAAGTATATCACAGTAAGTCACACTCGTACGCGAATAATGTATTTTTTGGTTATTGCGTAAATATTGTAATTGTTTATTTTGTAATAAATGTCTGCTTTTAGTTGAGACTGAACACGTTTCTATTCATGCGTCTGCCAACATTGCGTATTGCAACAAGGAATACCATACATGAATGTTCTCAATTCCATTTTAGCGTTGTACATATTCATGCAGATCATTGCTATACGCCGATTACACTATTACCTGCAATAGCACCTATTTTCGTTCGATGTTTACTGAATGGAAACCTAAACTGAAGACAAAATTAATAATAATAGTAATCAGGAATTTTTTCATTGTGAGTCGTATTCTCCACTGTATATATAATGTTTCCTGTCGTACACGGTACAATATTTAAAAAAAGGTCTTGATGATGATTATTTGTTGTACAGGAACCGCGGCACCCCATCATATATAATGTAAATTACCTATTTTAACCGTTTACTGTTAAATTAGTCTATTACGCCTTAATTTCCATTACTTGTTTTACATCGTCTAAATTGATATGAAAAATAGCAAAACTGATGTCCCATGCAGTTTAATGATAATGGTCCACCCTCTGCAGCGCCTGCACAGCATTATGTCCCTGCTGACGTATGCAATATCTGCTCAAAGCAACAGTATTTTCTACAAAATTATATATTCAAAATGAGGAGCAAAAGCTCATAAGTTGTTTACAAAGAAAAAGTCTCATTCCGATGCCTTACTTTTATTAACGCCAATGTGCACTCGCATCCTGACATCCCAATTCACCCCCCCCCCTTCAAAGTCAAAGAAATGATGTACACATTTCGCTGCAATATGACAGTACTAGTGTCGCGCACTCGTCTCGGAACTGGGTGGGGGGGGGGTGCTCGGGGTTCTTGAGAACCTGACCCTGTCGCAAACCGCTTTGCGCCCTAGAATACACCCTGCCCCAGGGACGCAAATCCATTTTAAAAATTTGGGGGACCAGCCGTGGTTCAAGAGCCTGCGAGGGAGCCAAGCGGTCGGGGGGGGGGAGCTAGGAGGTGGGTATCCCTCATCTAACGGTAGGAATTTTTCGTATTTTTGATCTCAAGTATACTCAAGTATCAACTATTGTTTGTAGCGTTTACATGCCATAAACTAGGTCATCTGATCACTAGAGGTCGATGAATTTTCAAAACGTTCCATGTCAATTAATGCTAGTTTGACTTCTTCGTGTATATCGTTAAATGTATTTCATAAGGGGGGCTTCGATCCATTTTGAGGATGGGGCAAACAATATATATAATTATATATATCTCTTTTTCTTAAATTAAATCGTAAATTAGCTACATAACACCCTTTTCTGCAATTCATGATTATAACATAAAATTACATGCATTAATCGCTTTCCTTTTATGTGTATTAAATTATCTGAACACATAATTCGCACATACATTTTCTATGTCAGTAAAACAAACGACATGTGTGACGTCACCGACATGATCACTTATCACGCAGCTTACCCGTGTACGCATCAAATTAAATGGCATTAAACTCGGACATTTATCACTCATTTGAAAACTTACTTCTGATGCAGGAATTACAAATAACTAAAATTTGAGAAGCCTTTTCCCCGCTGACAGCTGACGTGCTTATACTATCTCGTGCTTCTCACGAATTCGGAATTTAACGTGTTAAAGTATGGTAGCTTCAACTATGATATTTTTATGTATCTCTTAAATTTATCTCAAAACAAAATTTAAACTCGACACTTTTCACATGTACTGGAATTACAACCATTCACGGAGTGAAACATGTTAATTTCTTTTTACGGATACTGAAGTCTGAAATAAAAAAAAGGACTGGAATCCTTTTTTTCCTTAATAATTATAACTGCCTAGTTTTCTTTACATCTACAACGTGGCATCGAGTACCTATATATCTGCGCGTAAAGCAACAATGTTTGCTCGAAGTTACGTGTTAAAAATGATAATTACTTATTCTAGACAGAAAACAGCTAGGGATTCTCGAGTAGTTTAAGGCAAAGGGTTCGAACCGTGTACTCTCAACAAAATAATATTCCTGTTCATATATACTTGACATGAGAAAACACAGATTTCCACCCGATGACTTGTGAGGTAGGTCTATTGTGGAAAACTGCACGCCTTGTAATGATTAAACTACGTAGCAGATATTAGCTGCGTTCACACGAGACTCCATATTTATGAAATTCAGTATAATTTGCGAGATACCGAATCTGAGACAAATACGCAAGCGAGCGTTTACACGCTGGAAATGCGCGGTACAAGAGATTCAAAATTTCTCAAGCACGGCAAATAATTCGGCATCTGGGAAGCCGCGTATTTCAACAAATACCGAATCTAATTTTAGATTCCGTATTTCTTGGACCGCGCATTTCTTGGATTTGGATTGCGCGTTCCTAGAAATACGGAATCTAAATAGATTTGGTATTTGTTGAAATACGCGGCTTCCCAGATGCCGAATTATTTTGCCGTGCTTGAGAAATTCCGAATCTCTTGGACCGCGTATTTCTCTCGTGTGAACGCTAAATACCGAATTTCTGAAGCCGCGTAATTTATAGACTGGTCCGCGCTAGACAGTTCCAGTGTAACGCGAGTGGAACTGTCGAGCGCGGACCAGTCTACGTATTTTATCGGCAGTTGGTGCGCATTGCATTGTTTATTGATTGCTCGCTTGGACGCAATAGGTGCGTTCACACTGGCGCGAAGTAGCGGGTTGCAAAACCCGGTTTTTGCAGCCCGCTCGAAAAACTGAGCTTTTTACAAGTGTGAACGCAATTAGCTCACTAAATCGCGCTCAATTCAAAGAACACTTCCGACTGCACTAATTTGGAATCAGCGCGCTTATTTGCACCGCGGCGTGATATTTGCACCGCGGCGATTAGCGAGATATTCGCCTGTGTGAACAACGACACAATTAGCTCACTATTATCTCCGCTATTAGCGGGCTGAGCAGCGCGGTTTTTCTTGTGTGTGAACGCGCCTATTGTGGTTTTTTTCATTGTACTAAAGCAGCTCGCAGCTCGCAAATACGGCATTTCTGAAGCCGCGAATCAGTGTGTGAACGCACGGTCGCGAATTTGTCTCAGATTCGGTATTTCCAAATACCGTACAGGGGCGGATCCAGAGGGGGGGTCGAGGGGGACCGGACCCCCCCTTTTTACCACAAAAAAAGGGAAAAAAAGCATACACACACGCACGCACGCA